ACTAACCCAGAGGAGTGCCTTTTAGTTGATTCCATATCAATCAGGTTGTGAATGACGACTAACCTTCACAGCTGCAAACACAAGAGATGACATTGGATTTATATAATATGTTGAAGTTGTGTTCTTAGCAGAACCATGGCAACAATGAAAAGCTCAGAGCTCCATTTGTTTTGTGGAGAATACCTTTAGTACTGACTCTGTGCCTCCTCTTATATGCAGACCTACTAGATGCTGAGCAATATAACCTGATTCCTTTTCCCTGTCTTATTCCCTGATAAACAGTAGGTACACATCAAATGAATAATGAGTTCTTCTGAACAGTACCTCGGGGTCTCCTGAAGTCACTTTCTTGGAGTCTGACTTGATTCCATGTCAAACAATTTAAAATTCTGTGAAAGAAAGGATGACTTGTATTCTTCCAGCATCTTCCACAAATATAACATACAAGGCTTGGAATGTGTATAGTGCTTGCCTAGCATGCACAAAGCCCTGGGTTCCATTTTCAGCACCGCATAATCTTGCACAGTGGTGCACACATACAATCTTAATACTCAGGAGGTACAGGCAGTGAAATCACAAATTTAAGCTCATGCTGGGCATAGTTACTCATGCCTTTAATCCCAGCACTTAGGAGGCAGAGGCAAACAGATCTCCATAAGTCTGAGGCTATCTTGATCTACATAGAGAGTTTCAGATCAGCCAGGGCTACATATTGAGCCCTTATAATCAAAAGGAAAAAAATTCAAGGTTATCTTTTACTACAAGGTGAGTTTGAAGCTAGATTGATATACATGAGACCCTGTTTCAAACACAAAACAATGCTAGGTAAGCTGTTAATTAATTAGTTGATGGCTGAATAAGGAATTAGAAGCTGACAAAACTTTCGATTCAGTTGGCCTTGACATGGATCTTCACACACGAGCATTTTAAGCTTTCCTTCTGAAGGTATTGTAATGCCCAGCACCCACAAAAGCTTCTTGCTCTCCTGGGCATTTTATGTACCTTGTCCTATTTAGCCTTCAGGATTTTACACAGTAAATACTGCTGATGTCTCTACTTCCTACATGAGTAAAATGAGGCACAGGAGAACTAACTATAGAGTTAACAGCGACTGAGAAGTAAAACTCAGTCTTATCTCACAGCCCAAGTTCATATTGGGCATCCCTTTGTCATTCTCAGATTGCACAAGCAAAATCTTTCCTCTGGCAGGATTTTCATAGCTGGAATGAGGATTTGGCCTGGGAAGGGACCTGGGGAACCATCAACATTATAGAACTATCTATAACTGTTGGCATAGCATGGCTCACACTATTTCCTATAGAACATAACATCTGCCAAAATGCCACTGTCCCATCTAACTGAACTTTGACACAATAACAGTTTACACCCTTTATTCTCAAACCTAGAAAGTAACATACAATATATTCTGCCATTCAACACTGACTCTCAATTCAAAAATTCTGGAGCTTGCAGGAAAATGGCAGCAGCAGAATGCAAATGCTGCCGACACTTGTAACAAATGATAGTTAATAAAACTTGAAAAGATTATAGTTCAGAATTGACTTCCTGTGTTTCCCATTATTTAATAATTTACTATATGAAATCTATTGACCTTTCCATAGGCATCTATCTTTTTTTTTTCTTTCCTGAAAAGAAGCTGGAGCGTTAATTATGGTTTTAGCTGTTTTATTGAGCAGCATTAGCATACAAATAGGACATCAATAACCAATTACAATTTTCATCTTGGAAAAGCAGGTCTCTTTCAGTGCCTCTCTGACTGCTAACTCAGCCACTTAAAGGTCTTGAGCATTTAATGACGATGGCGTTCAAGGCTCTTCTCAGTCAACCCTCAGGGGATCTACAGTGTGACATCTGCTCCTACCTTCTGCATACCCTGCTTCCTTGCCCAGCTGGGTCACTTGCTTCACTGTGAGTGAACTCTGAGCACATTTACCTATGACTCTTGTCTCCAGTGACCCTATCCAGTCAATCTGTGGCCCATTCACTTATGTATTCTCTACAACCCCTCCCATTCCTTATTCATCTGCAGGTGCTGATTGGATGCTAGCCAATCACTGGTTGACTTTGGGAGGCACTAGGAACCGATGAACATGAAACCTTCACAAACTAGTGCAGGTGACAGTAAGCCTTGTGAAAGGCCAAGGTAGCCATGATTTGCCTGTTAAAAGGAGTCAGTTCTTTGTGCAGGAATGCAGTCACACAAAACACAGAATGTCTATCTTCCAGTAGCACCCCATGTTTAAAAAGAAGACAGAAGTATCAGTCACAGAAAAGACCCCTGGGCCCAGAGTTTTCTGTTACTTTCCTTGTGGAGCTCCTGTCCCCTCCAGGTCTTGCTATCTCCCCCTTCTTTCATAAGATTCCTTGCAATCTGTCCAAAGTTTGGCTATGAATCTCAGAATCTGCTTTGATACCCTGCAGGGTAGAGTCTTTCAGAGGCCCTCTGTGGTAGGATCTTGTCTTGTTCCCTTTTTTTTCCCTCTTCTGATGTCTATCCTCTTTGCCTTTCTGAATGAGGATTGATCATGTTACCCAGAGTCCTCCTTCTTGCTTAGCTTCTTTAGGTGTACAGATTTTAGTATGATTATCCTATATTATATATCTAATATCCATTTATAAATGAGTATATACCATGTGTGCCTTTCTGTTTCTGGGATACCTCACTCAGGGTGATTTTTCTAGTTCCCACCATTTGCCTGCAAATTCGTGATTTCCTTGTTTTTAATTGCAGAGTAGCTCCAACCAAGGACAATTCATGGATATAACCTAGAACCCCTTCACAGATGTAGCCCATGGCAGCTCAGTCTCCAAGTGAGGTCCCTAGTAAGGGGAACAGGGGCTGTCTCTGACATGAACTCAATGGCTGGCTCTTTGATCACCTCCCCCTGAGAGGGTAGCAGCCTTACCAGGTCACAGAGGAAGACAATTCAGATAGTCCTGATGATCCCTGATAGGTTAGGGTCAGATGAAAGGAGAGGAGGACCTCTCCTATCAGTGGACTGGGGAAGGGGCATGGGAGGAGAAGAAGGTGGGAGGGTGGGATTGGGAGGGGAAGAAGAAAGGGGCTACACCTGGGATACAAAGTGAATAAATTGTACCATGTATAACTCTCAGAAGGTTCTACTATATCTCTGTATCTCAGTTTCTACATCTTGGAAATGGAAATTATAAAATGCCTAGCAGATTCTCTTAAAGCCTCTTTAGTGGTTTTCGGTTATTCACAGGCAGCTTTCTACCATGCCCCATGGAGAAGTATGGAACAATGTCTTATGTTTCTTTCTTGCCCCTTCCTGACTAGTTTCCACTGGTCTAAATCTTCCCTGCTCTTCTGGCCTTTTAAGCCTACAGCTTTTCTATATTGGGGGGGGGGGGGGGCTGGAGAAGCTCTGTGTCAGACTCCCTTCCTCCTACTTCTCACGTGTTCAGCTCCATCCTGAAGGTACAATTTTATATTTGGTCTCTACTTGTTATTTTTCTTATTGTTGTGAGCAAGTAACTGACAAAAAGCAACTTAAAGACCAAGGCTTCTTTTCGATCGTGGTGTGTAGATATATCTCACCGTGGCAGGGAAGGCACGGTGTGAAGAGAGGCAAGCTTCTAGTACTGATGTGACTTGAGGTGCCAGGGTGGGTTGGTATCTCTAAGGAACCTACTCTCCTCTGAAGAGAAGAAAGGGGGATGGGGAAGGGAGAATGAAGGCATGATGGCGGAACTGGAAAGAGAGGAGGGAGAAGGGTGGGATCGGGCTGTAAAGTGATTAAATAAATAAAAATTTAAAATGAATGCCAAGCTTCTTGCTCATATCTGAGCTGAAGGTGAAACAGAGATGGGACAGTAATTACAGCCTGATTACAAACCCTGAGGCCTGCTCCTCACAGATCCACTTCCTCAAACTAGGTTTCACACCCCAAAGGTTCCATAACTTCCCAAAACAATGCAACTAGTTGGAGACTGAGTGTTCAAACACGCGAGCCTACACAATACATTTTACATCCAAATCATAACAGAGCCTCCTCCTCTGGGACTATCCTGTCTACACACATATCCATATTTGGCAGGAGAGGGAAAACAGCTACCAATCTTCCTCCACTTCATCTCTTTGTTTCTCATGTAGCACATATCTCAACTTTTATCTGTTTAACAATTCATTTCATATCTTCCTACTAAGGCAATAGTGCCATGTGAGTGCAAGAACTTCCCAATAGTGTCTCTGGCACTTGGCCCTGTGTCTGGCATGAATCAATCAGTCAGTTGATAAGTATACATCATTAATAAATAAATGAACACATGGGAGTAGATGAATGTGTCTCAGTCAAGAAGCTGCCCTGGCACTTTCTTCCTCCCACTGTTTCAGCAAGCACAGTAGAGCAGTGACTCACATGCCTTCATGACAATGTCAACTTCCAGACTCTTGAAGTCAAAGACTTGTAGGGTCTGTCACATTGCCCTGTTACTTCTAGTGAAATTCATTTTCTCCTGTAGGAGATGTTCTTCAGGTCAAGGATTGGAAAGGTGCACTTGTGACTCCCTTGTTGCTGGGAGAAAATTCCTGATAGAAACAACTTAAAGATGAAGAGTTTAAGTTGGCTATGTTTTCTGAGAGATTTTAATCTTTCATGATGGAAAAACATGGGCATAGAAATGGCTTACCTGTGGCAGAGCGGACATAAGGCAGCAGCCATGTATGTGGCATAGAACAGAACACAGAGAGAATGATATTTGAACCAATGGTTCACCCACTCTTAGCAAACACCCCTACTTGTCAAAATGTACATCCTAAAGGCTTCCCAGCCTTTAAAATAGCACCATGAGTTGGGGACCAATCATTCCATGATATTTAATCTTCACTTTTATCTTTGCTTCTGTCTTAGTTACTTTTCTATTGCTATGACAAAGTGCCATGAATGAGCAAGACAACTTCTAGAAGAAACAGTTTATTGGAGCTTACAGTACCAGAGA